ACTCTTCTCACCGTCTTCCAATCTGCGGCTGTGGAGCCTCCACACCACACAGTGAGACAGCTGGTCAGAAAGCTCTTTATGGTGCTTTTGTAGAAGGTGGTGAGGATTGGTTGGGGCAGGTGGGCTCTCATCAACCTCCAAAGGAAGTACATGCACTTTTATGCCCTTTTGACCAGTGAGATAGTGTTTACAGTCCAGATGAGGTTGTCTGTGATGTGCAACCCCAGGAATTTGGTGGTGCTGACCACCTCTACAGCTGAGCTGTTGATGATCAGTGGAGTGTGGTTAGGCCAATTTTTCCTGAAGCTGACGATGATCTCCTTTGTCTTCTTCACATTCAGGGTCAGGATTACCTCTGCATAAGCCCACTAGCTGCTCCACATACTCTCTGAAGTCCTGGTCATTGTCGTCTCTGATGAGGCCCACCACTATAGAGTCATGTGCAAACTTCACAATGTGATTTGTGGTGAACCTAGGGATGCATTTATGTATCATAGGGGGGGAAAAGCAGGGGGCTCAGGTCGCAGCCCTGAGGGGAGCCTGTGGATTGGGGGATTACATCAGAGGTAATCTGTCCAACCAGGACTGACTGTCTGTTGGTGAGGGAGTCTAGTAGCCAATTGCAGAGGGGTTTATTGAAGCCCAGTTGTTCCAGTATTCCTATCAGATGCTGTGGGATGAAGTCCAGGAGCAGCATCCGCATGTAGGTGTTCTTCCCCTCCAGGTGTGCCAGGCTAAGGTAAAGACCAGAGGAGATGGCGTCTTACGTGGCGCAGTTTCATTGGTAGGTGAAATGGAACTGGTCGAAAGTTGGGGGGAGACTGGAGACGATGTGTTCTTTAACCAGCCTTTCCGAGCTTCATCATGATAGGAGTCATTTCCACAGACCGGTAGTCACTGGTTGAGGTGACCTGAGGCTTTTTTGGGACTGGAATGATGGTGGCAGACTTGAGGCATGCTGGCACTATGGTTTGGTCCAGCAAGGTGTTAAAAATGTCTGTGAGGACACCGGCCAGCTGACCCGCACACTCCTGATAACACACCTGCCCAGGTATGTTATCAGGGCCTAGGGCCTTTCTTGGGTTGACTGACCTCAGATTTTACCTCACTTCAGCTATGTGAAGTTTTCACTGCTGGAGTACTGTTTAGTGCCTCAAACCTACCAAAGAAGTTGTCTTGTTCATTTAGGAAGTCAGCGTTTTCTGCATATACCGGAGATTAGGGTGGTTTGCAGGCATCACCCATATGCCTTGCCACATCCTACTGGTGTAGCTGGCATCGTGGAAAATATCCTGGATTTTATGGCTATGGTTCTGCTTCAATGACATGATGGCACGGTATAAGTTGGTTCTCAGAGCCTCTCTATCAAAAGACTTGAATGCAGAGTTCCGTGCTTTTAGCAATTTCCGAACCTAACCATTCACCCAGGGTCGTTGGTGTGCTCAGGTCATGATGATTGGTGTTTTATGGGTCAGTGGTGATTAATACTGATAAGGATGGTGTAGTCACTTACTCACTGTACAAATCAGATTGTGATTTACTCACCCTGTGACCAATTAGAGATTCAGATGTGATTCCCGCTCATTCCCTTACTCGACCTGGGTACGAATTAGAGACCATCTGACTGTGCATCGGCCTGGACAAATAATGCCGTTGTTCATGTAGTAGCATAATATACTAATAAAAAGATATGATCTGGAATAGATAGTATAATGGTTTTTCATAATTGCTTTTTTCCCTCAAATGTAATCTGCAAATGCATTTGTTTAATTTTTTTTTAATTTTTGATCTAAAAAAAACATTTTAAAGGAAAACCAATGATCAGAAACAACACTTGCCTGTAACAAAGAAACAAGAGTGCACATGCACAGTACAAGGCTCCTAGTCTTGCAGATAAATATGCAAATATTGCAGATATCAGCATGTTTATCCACAAGACACACATTAGGATATCTCACAGAGGTATTACATACAGTTATAGGCTACAAAGGTAAAACAAAGGTCCCAGAACCTCCAGTCTTTCTGCAATGAGTTTATAGGATCTACCGGTAATTTGCAATATCCACCAGGCAGGGGATTTCTTAGGTGAATTTAACTCCCTAAATTGCCATTGGGATAGAGTGTGTATTTGGATGGTTGTTGTTGTGTGTGCCTCACTGTTGCTCTGTGAACTACTGGCAACCTGGAGGTACTCTTCCCACCTAATGTCTGTTAGTAAAAAATAAAATAAAAACAGAGCCTATATAAAGCCCATTAAATAGAAGGCTTAGCATTAGGTACATTTTGCTGCTAATGTTTAATTTAACCTGCAGTAGGGTGGCGCCACTAGGGGGTGGCAAGGGGTGGCCAAGGCCACTCTGTGCAATGCCCTGGGCACCCCACTTGCCAGTGTAAATTGTAGTAGCATCAGTTTAGCATCGTATCCCTTTATGCTCAGCGACATAACATTAAAAATCACACAATGAACCAAGATATGAGTAGGTGTTTACTTAAGTCTTTATTATCTCTAGATTCAAACCCTCAAATTATGGCTTTTAGTTTTAGTGTGCCAAGATTTTTAGTGGCCCCATCTGGCCACCCCTATGAAAGATCTCTGGAGGTGCCACTGCTCCAGTATTTAGGGATGGAAATGCTAATTTTTGCATAAAGCTGCTTCCACCATGTAAACATTAGGCCAATGTTCGATCATATACAGCTATAATAACCTTTCCAATAAGCTACCCACCTGACCCCAGTAAGAGTTAGTCTTTTTTTTTATTTTTATTTTTTTTTAAATAATGATATTTAATATTCAGTGAGTTAGAAACAACATTTTACCATTTTATATTCAGCTGATATTCTCTGAACAGAACACGCTCCTATGTTTCACTGTTTTCCTTTATTCTAGATGCGCTGGATCTGAGCGGAGGATAACCACCGTGCGCAGTCGCGCTCTCTCACCCAGCAGGGAGCCGCTTTTCCTGCTCAATTTTCGCCCTTAGCTTCGGTTCTTTAGAGGAGGGTCTGGCAGGATGGACACTCTTTGACAGCACTCAGATCTCCGCACATCTCAGCTGCGCGCACGTCCCTCGGTTTTCTCTGGCAACAGCAGCGGCACCTGTCGAGCTTCAGGTAGGTTTCGGTCTCTTTCGGAACTGCGCGGGGTTTTGAAGAGTTGCAGCTGTTTGCGGGCATCTGAGCTCAGTCTTAAGCTTTTTTTTTTTCCTGTCATCATTTTCAGGCTTCAGTCATGACAGGAGGAAAAAGCTCCCGTCCTCTTTCTGTGCTGGTCTGCTTCATCGCTCTGTGGCACACAAGGTAAGTTTGCGTGTTGTAAACGTTTTTGATCAATCGGAACGGACAGCTCCCTGAATGTGGAGCTCAGGAGCGCTTTTAAACACTGTAAGGACCAATTTAAAGAAAAGAAAAAAACAAAACAAGAACATTTGTTTGTTTATAAGGTATAGTTTTCTTTCCAGTCTCTGTGCGTTCAGCGCGCTCCGAGTTATTAGAAAACATCAGCATAAAATGACGCTCGAATCTCAGAAGCATCAAAATGAAGTTCAACACCAGGAACCACAATTAAAACCTTGAAAGAATTTGCAGTCATTCTATACTTAATCCTTTTCCCCCCACGTTAAGTGGCTATTACGCATGGAAGCTTTTAGGGAATAGAAATTATGGAAATTTAGAATAAGCCATTCCAGACAGTTTGGCTTTAAATGTTTTATGAGATTTCAAAATGATAATTGCTGTGAAATGAAAAATTTATGTGGAATTCTTTTAGTGGTGTGACATGCTGGGCATAGTTTGCCATTTGAATAATAAGGCAGTGAACTGCCAATCATAGATGTAACTTTAAGACATAGAGACCAACTTTTGAAAAAAGCCAACTAATAAATGAGCAGCATTATTATGCCAATACATGAGCTGTTTTGTATTATCCACCTGGTTTTATGTATCCCTTTTTATAATTTAATTACATTTTATTAATCTCATTCTGGAAAAATTCCCCTCTGCATTCAGCCCATTCCCTTGGGGAACAGTGGGCTGCCATTGTGGGGCACCCAAGGAGCAGTGTGGGGTTAAAGGAATAGTACACCCAAAACATGATTAGCCTTCA